AGTTCTTTACCCTGGGGGTGTTGAGGCACTGGCACAGGTTGCCCAGGGAGGTTGTGATGCTCCATCCCTGGAAGTGTTCAAGGCCAGGCTGGCTGGAGTATTGAGCAACCTGATCCAGTGGGAGATGTCCCTGACATGATAGGGGGGTTGGAACTAGATGATCTTTGAGGTCCCTTCTAACCCAAATCGTTCTATGATTCTATGGTAATAAGCTCTTTACTGTGGAGGTAGTGAAGCATAGGCACAGGTTGCCCAGAGAGGTGGTGGAGGCTCCATCCCTGGAGACATCCCAGGTCAGGTTGGACGGGGCTCTGAGCGACCTGATCCAGTGGAAGAGACCCTGCTCACTGCAGAGAGTTGGACTAGAGGACCTTTAAATGTCCCTTCCAACCCAAACCATTTTGTGATTACGGCCATTTAGGGTAAGGGGCAGACAGAAAACCCCTCTGCTGCTACCCAGACAAGCGGGTTTATTTTGTAATATTTATTCAGCCAAAAAAATGATCCTCTGGGTGCTGTTGAAACCGTGTTTTCACTGCTACGTGGATGAAGCTAAGAAATAAACCTGTAATGTTGTATGATGGGCATCTCTGGAGCTACAGCACAGGAGTAGGTACAGGGCATCTGGTGGGTGGAAAAACTATAGTTTGGCAACACAGCCTGGAGAGGACTTGGAAGGAAGGTTCTGGATAAAGGCACCTACTTGCCAGCACCTACCTGGCTGCTGCTTTACCTTTACGTCCTTTTTCTTCGGGTCTCAGTGACCTGCAGGAGACAGACAAGATGGGAATATGCTATTGTTCTGGCAAGGCAGGTCAAAGCTTGTGGTAGATCAACAACAAGACTTCATTGATTTTTACAAAGCCCTTTATTTTATTTTTTTGTCTTAAGGCTTATAAAAACTGTTACTCAAAACCAAAATGTTTAAAACTTTACATATGTACAATATGAGAAATAAATTATGTTTTAAGTCATACAAAAACCACAATATACAAATAGGGCTTTGAAACCACTCTAAATATGGCACGGTGACAAGTCACAGATACTTACCAAAGGCTTCAGTTATTTTTTCCCCCATGGCTTTACGCAAAGACTTCAGTTATTGAAGCCCTTACATAAAACCATGGATAAAAAAAAGAACAAAAACCAAAAATCCCCAAATAAAACTCCAGATATGCTTGCTTTGGTTGGATTGAAGCTCTACAAAAGTTTACGAGAATTGCAGGGCTCAGAAGGACTTGCTAAATCTTCAGAACTCAGTGCACCATCTGGCAACACCATTTTTTGAGATTGCCTTTCTGCATGCCGAAAATTCAAGAGTCGTCACACCAGGTCTCCATCAAAAAGAAAAAAAAAAAGAAAAGAAAAAAGAGTAAAATAATCTAGTTCATCTCTGACAAGGTCCGCTCTGTAGCAAACAGGACCACTGCAGAGTTTGTCAAACTCAGAGCCAAGCCACATTCACCTGGCACCAAGGAATCCAGCCAGAATGTTGTGGTGATGTCGGAGGGTGGGCTGCTGTGTGTTTGGCTCAGCTAAACACTTGGCACAAAAATACAGCCTTTTTTATGCACTGGTGCTACAAAAGCATCTAAACAGAAGCAAACACATTCTCAGTAGTTAAAAGGACCGGTGCAAAGCTCTCCTGAAGCAGAACGGTTTGTTACCTTCCTCCTCCCCTACAGTCAGTAGAAGGGCAGCTGCCATTTGCCTCTTACAAAGAGATCAAGACACAGGATGGAGTAGTCTTGCTGAAGACACTCACTAGGGACCAAGGAGCAGCTGCCAACACCATCATCTGCCATCTGCACCACGGTCTGCCCTAGATGCAGCGAGGATGGAGTATGACCTTCTTATAAGGTGATACGTAGAAATTTCAGTATCAGCCAGACACAGAACGGATTATTTTTAAGGCAAGCATAGGACAACTTGAAGTTAAGTGGCATTGTGCTTATCCCCACCCCTCCCCTGAACAATCCCTCACACTTGACTTGTGCTGGTCTTATCTTCCCACAGCTGATAGTGCTATTGGACCCATGGTAACTACTATGCTAGATGGCAATCTGTTCTCGCCAGCTCTGTCACCAGCAGTCTCACGGGTAGTTAGCGTGGTTATCTTCTCAACTCCACTGGCAGGCAATCCAGAAGATCATCGCTGAGGTCTAGATCTGTGAAGATCTCGTCCACAGTCCTGGTTACTGTGAGCAGTGCAGGAAATGCAGCATGTAAGAGGTCAAGGTAAGGTTAAATATGCAAACCAGGCTCCTTGGGGAAAGTAGAATGTAGTATTAGTTATTCTAGGTCTAGGACCACAGTCCATCAATTGCCTCCTCAGTTTCTCGCCGCTGTTCCAAGGCATTTTGTCCTGAGGAGCTAGTTGCTGTAAGTGCTACCAAGCCAGATTTTTGCCAGAGCGTCTTGCCACCTGTGTGGTCTTCATGCATCTAGGTTTCTCACTTGTGAGTCTTTAGGGAAGTCTTCAGGGCAAATTTGAGACACGTCTGAGAAATGCAGAAAGAGGGGAAAAAAAAAAAACCTAGTTAAATGCAGGAGTTAAGAGGAGTAATAAACAATTCCTGAGAGACTCTGGGACACTGAGAACAGGTTTAGACAGTACATGTTGGTATTTTATTCTGTCAAAGCAGCGCTTTGCCCAGTAGGTACTCAATGAGAGCCTGAAGCAGACATTATGCACACAAGTAGGCTGCAATCAGAAATTACAGTTCTTGAGCTAGACTCTGCCTGTTCAGATCCATTTAGGGCAGACAGGTGTTTGCAGACTCAATCTCCAGGTAGGGAACCATAATCTTCCAATGCCTTGGCAGGAATGGAGAGCTGAAGAGCAAGTTAATTGCACATGCTCTCTGTAAGGAAGGATAGCTTCCTAGAAATCATAGCGTGAGGGAGCTCAGATCTGCTCGTTCACCTCGTGCAAAAGCTGTACTCCACAAGCAAGCAGGAAAGGCACATCTGCCAGCAATTGTGTTTTATGGCGGTTACCGAGTAGCATATCAAAACAGCCTTTTATTGTACCTGCAGGAGTATTTACTTGTGGCAGAGCAACAAGTCCTTGCACAGAGGTTTCATTCACAAGATTGTTTGCTGCCGTACGTAGCACAGCGCGGTGGTTCCTGCCAAACCTGGAACAGTACCAGCTTGCATTTCTGAGCCGAGCTCTGCCACCCAAGAGTCGTGTAAAGCATGACTTCCACGGGCCTTTGCTAGCCTTAACAAGTACTTTGTCTCTGGATTAGAAGTGACAAAGCTCTAAGTTTACAAATTGAAATTTAAGAGACAGCAAAGGGCTGGGCTTCATCTGAAGGAGACTGTCATCCAGTCAGATGAACAGGGACTCATTCAAAACATGACTGGGGGCAGTCTGAATCAATCAAAGCTGTCACTGCTGGGACCGGACGTACTGGAAGTCGGGTTCAGAGGACTGATCCTAGGTGTCTGGAAAGTCCCCAGAGGTTAAGCAGGGCTGAGATGCTCTGGCAGTGGCTGAGTTTGCGCTCTCCTGAACCAGAGGAGATTAGCACAGCCAGAGATGAAGCGTAGGATGAAGTAGTGTAGGATGAAGTACTGTAACACCACGGCAAGTCCTCAGGTCATGCAGTTGAGCTCAAACTCTAACCAAGAGATTTCTTAGTAGCTCAAGATCTTCCAGGCTAAAACAATCTTTGAGGGAATGCCCTGCATTCCCAGCTTTCCTCTGTTTCACCAGGTAGTTAATGAGATGCCTCTAATTAGCTCTCTACTGTTGCATGGATCTTGGGTATTGGTAGGAGCTCGTTTTTATCATCTACCACAACTGCAAGCAGACAGGTCCTTTAAGTACAAGGATTGTGTTATTCCAATTTAGCAGTAAGCATGTAAACATACAAGGTGACAAACCAAGATCAGAAGTGAGGATAGTATCACCTAGTCAGTGATAGTTAAGGCATATATGAAGATTAAGTGTAATAGCGAGTAATCTTGGGCTACTAACTTTCCTTTTTACCCCCCCCCCAAAGAAAAAGTGGTTCTAAGAGGTTTTTTTCAAATAATAAAAATAAAATGGCTCTGCTCGTCCCAGCACAGCCACACACACCAGAGAGAATTTCTCTCAGAGATTTTCCCCTACCTTTTTTGCCATTCCTCCGTGCACTTCACAAACCAGAGCTCTTTACCAGGAGATATACTGGTTAGCTGGAAATCCTCCACACAGAAAGCAAACCTAGAGGGAGGAATCAGAAGTGAAGAAGGCACCGCTGGGTCTATGATTAACAAATAACATGCAATGTCATAGAAATAGCTGCAATCCACAAGTTGTTTGATCTGACATCCTTCCTGTGGAGCATCTTTGATGCACCATTAGTTCACTGAATGCCTGTTTTGTTTCCTGCATTAATATTTTATTTGGGGATCTTTGCTTCTACTTCCCTTATGTTTCATAGCGTGCAGAAACTAGGATACAGAATACCTTACAAGGTGATGCTTATTTAAAGCCCTGAGAAATGTGGGAAATTGTTAATATCAGCAAGTGTGCTTTGATAGATCTGGGTTAACTTCAGAAAAACAGTAACACAAGATTTGGGATTGCAGTAAAGCTGCCACATATGTAGCCCTTCTTGTTGGTTGCTCAGGTAGTTTTCCAGTAACAGAGATGTCAGAGGGAGCAGTACAGTGCTTAAGAACTTGGTGTCACCACATTACCAGTTCCAGTTATAGATTTGGCTTGTTGTTCCAAACCAGCGCATCGTGCCTATAAATAATAGCCATGCCCATCTAAGTTTCAGTATTTTTGGTGCTGTCAGCACTTCAATCCTGCAGGTATGATCTAAACCATCTTGAAGCAGGCTAATCTAGTCCCCAAGGGCAAGCAAGACAGCTTCACAGCATCTAAATAAAGCAAAAATAACATCCCAGGTCTGGTCTGCAGTGACTAGTTTTGCTAAAGCCTAGTTTGCACCTCACGCTGGCAAGTAACCCCCTCTCCTACACCACAAGGGAGCCTTATCTGGTAAAGCTAAAAATGAAAAACAGTTCAGGACACCAAGTTCAAACCCCAGCCTTTCTCGGCAGATTGTGAATACCTCTCCTTTGACTGCAGTTCTGAGTCAGCCCACGTGCATTCTAACCACAATCATTACCTCTGTTGCGTTTCCCCAGATTTCACACGTATACGTCGGATATGCAGCTCCTGGGGAGACTTCACAGGCCGATACCAGTAGCTCTTCAGCTCTTTCCATAGATCATACCATGACTGAGATGGTCCCTCCCAGGTGAGCTTTATTTTTAAAAGTTCACCCATGTCCTCCTCAGTATAGACCAGGAAAGTGTTAGTAGCGTTTAGGCCAATTTGATCAAGCCTGGAAAACAAGCAGAAACTCAACATTTCTTCCTTATGGAAGCATGCCAGATGCTCTTTCATTCCATACAAGCAGTTAAACACAGCCCTTTGCAGCTTATCAAGTGCTCCACATTCAACTGACACCAGTTAATTACTGATTACAGTTTAAAAAGCGAGCCTGGATAGCTGGACTGATACAATGCATCATGTATTTGGCTCAGCCATCCTTCCATAGTTTAAAGGTGATTGTGTTTCTTCTGGGAGAGGCTAATGATGGTCAGCAATGCCTCCAGAGATATGGGTGCCTTGAGACTATATCCAAATTGTAGGGTGGGAAAGCAAAGTACTTCAACAATGAGCCTGGAAGGCAAATACGTGGAGGACTGGGTACATCAAACTGCTTTCTCAGCAATATATTATGATGAAATTCCTGGAGGAAAAGTTTTTTGACTGGTGATGAAGCCAGGTTGCTAGGCTCAGGTGCAATGACAGTGTTACCTTGCCTAGTCCCAGCGGCCGTCTTACTGAGGTGCACACAGCAGGCAGCCTACTTACATTTCTAAAGAGAGAGGTTCAGAGTCTCCGTTGGTGCCATGAAGGGTGACGGAGAAAGTGGCATCAGCCTCTCCCAAGCTCTTGTAGCTGAAGACATGCATTTTCATCTGGTAATGGTAGACTGGAAAGAAGCAAGGAAAGCATAGATGGAACCAACTTTGCTGAGTGACAACACTGTTCAGCATCGCTCTTTGTGAAAGCGTTGGCTGGCAAATGCTAGACACTTTCTCTATTGAGACATGATTAATGACAGATTACAAACCTGACATTTACACATCAACAGCAGGTCCAACCTGGGGACAGCTCCCTCAACCTTATACATTGGGATGGTCTTGCAAGCATGGCATGTGTAAACTGTAGTCCTGCTCAAAAGGCAGAGTGTCCTTATGGCCAGAGTCCTGTTAATTTTTTTAGGTGGAGGCAGGAGCAGGGTAATGCCACAGGACAGCAGTACAGCCAGGGAACAGCGAAAGGCTAATGCCTGGTGATGGTGCTCTTCCAGCTCTACATCTTTCCTACGACTGACTTTGGGAGCCTGCCCTTCGAGATGAAACTGCGCTCTTTCAAAGAGGGAAAGCGTACCTTTGAATGGCATGTCAGCTCTTGTTTTTAAGTACATCTTGCTGTTTCTTTTGTTCCGTGTTTTCCTGGCGTTGTAGCCAATGCCGTTGCAGCGGTTCTTCCGGCAGCTCAGGCAGATGCCCTTCTTGAAGCGACTGGAATCGGTGCATTGAAACGCGAAGCTTTGCTTGTCTTGGTTCACGAGAGAGTCCACGAAGAGGTGCACAGACCGCTCGTGTTCACATTTAACAACTTCACCAATTGCTAGGGAAGCAGAGTTGCACAGGATATGTTTTGTTTAAGCATTTGTCACCGCAGCAGCCGATAAGATATAGTGAGCTGTGCCTTTCTGTAGCCCAGCATGAGTTAACTGCGGCCAAACTTGAACAGTTTTCAAACAGTAGCAATTCAAAAGTTTAGTGGAAGACATGAGGAGAGGTCCATGTGCTTAGTCTCTACCATGAACAAAGCTTTAAAGAAGATTCTAGACCAAGCATAAGGCAACCATAGTTTATGATCAGGTATTAGAGTAAGAATATGCTAGCTCAGAATTAAAAGCAAGTCTACTTTCTAGCATGTCTCCCCAATAGCACAGGCAGTTTAGAAGGAAAACATAGTTTTCTCTGCTCTTATAAATCAGATCATCCCCCAGCATCAACCTAAGTCTATCTGTGAGGAGTCAAGCCTGACCAGAGGCAAAACAAGTAATGAGAACTTACTCCCATAGGCAATTGCTCCCAAGACATCACTCAAACCACAGCCAGGCTGGAAGTCTCCCCCATTGGGGTAGATGTCAACATGGCCTACAGGCATCTGGATCCCAATGCTAACACCTAGCGTTTCCCTTGTGTAGGTGTGCAGGACGTCCACAAAGCTGGCATCGTCAGGGGAGAGGCGCTTGCTGGGGTCCACTCCTTCAAACATAGGGCCAGCTGGATCCAAGCCTGGTGTCAGAGACAGCACACACAATGCAGGATAAGAGACTGGGTTATTTCATACAGAATATAGCCAGGAGCTGCTAGCAGCCCTCTTAACCAGGTCCCTGCCTCGTTGATAATAGTGTCCCCCAAGATCTCTTCACCATGGGCTCACTGAGGGAACAGATGAAGATGTCTCATACCACTTTTGGTGGAATACAGCCCAGCAGCAGCACCAGTCTGCTCCACAGTGATGGCTTCAGGTGGCCTGTTGGAAGGATTGAGCCTTTGCCAGCACCCGGAGGAGAAATACCTCAAGAGGTAGCAGACTGAACACCAGAAGAAGTCTAGCACCCCACAGAGACCCCTGGTAGCCAAAGCTGCCTTGGCGACATTTAGTCTATTTTCAGACTGGACATAGGGACGAGTAACAGAAGTTTAAGCAGCAGCCAGGTAAGCCCAGCATCTGCAATCCTGCCATGGGTTTGAGACCTTCTGCTACGCTCTGAGCCTCACCCCTGACCTGAAGCTGTGCTCCCGTGAGCCATTCCCCAACTTGACTGTTGGGTGATTTTCCTGCTTAACTAAATAGGAATATTTACTGATAGGCTCTGAGGAATTCTCACTGCTCCTGTCATATTTAGATGCTTTAATGAAACCTCTTGTGGCCTGCCCTAAGTTCTCACATATTCAAATCAGCTTTCCTCTGCAGTCAGAAGCACTCTCCAAGATATTTCCAGAATGAGATGTTGGGGTGTTGGGTTGGGTGTTTTTGACCCATGGGACAAACACCACTCAATAGCTCTCACTTCCATTCATATATGAGCTATAATTAAAAAAACAGTATCACTCAGAGGCTTAGGATTTGTAAAATAAAAGCTTGAGGCAGACTTGTTTTGAACCCACATTTAACTTCAAATATACTAAGGTTTTTCAAGGTTTTTCTGAAAAGTTTTTCATCGAACTCCACCTACATTTGGAGTTCAAAATTAAGATACTTTTGCATGTGAAGAGACTTGTGCTCCTCACTGCCACCACAGGTAGGAAGACTGTCATTTCTGAATAAGCAAGTCCAAAACAACATCACAGCAACACAGGAAACGAGCTTCTTCAGGGAAGCTCACTGCTGCTGAGGAAAGGTAAGAGACTGATTAAAAAAACCCACTTGCCTGTAATTCTGCCTATTGTCCCATGGACGTGGTTACCAGCAAATCCCGCAACGTGGGCGCCCAGGCTGTACCCAATCAGGTGGACATTCTCAAGCTTGAAGAGCGGGTT